TCTGTTAACATTTCCGATAACATTCAGAATACCCTATTATTATATATATTGGAGCAGGTGACCGTACATTTGAACCCATGTACATTTGAACCCATGCGTATATCCACGGGTTCAATCTATATGCGGGTGCTAAAACCCATGGGTTAGGGTTAGTATGGGTTTAACTATCCGTGAAACAAAAAAAATTCCATAGGTGCAATAGCATACAGGTGCAATTGTCCTGGGTTCAAATGTACGTGGGTTCAAATGTAATGGAACCATTGGAGCACAATGTAGTAGGAGTAGTTTGCTTAGTTCAACAGTTTTTAACTGTTGTGTAAGTATTAAACAAATGATGATAGTATTGAACCAGGCAAATTAGTCCATTTCATCAGGTCAGTATATTGTATCTAACACGCTGAAACGACTTTAAAAGCAGAGGATGAAGATATTGCTGGGAAACATAATATATTTGTTCAGTACTATATGTACATTGGCCACTAGTTAGCGCTATTGGGTCATTATTCCATTCTATATAACGTCGCTGTTAATTCAAGAAGGTCAATTTTAACGATTTAGGCTAGTAATAAGCTAAAGTGTAACACAATATAAAAACTAAATGACCATCATTTAAATGTCATACGTCAAAACGAAAAAAATAAACAGGAGTAGCGCATTTCATATAATAGAATGAATTTGATCATATGATGTCATTACTACCAGTCACGACGAAGAACGGCTCTTTCTCTTTATACAATTCGGCAAACGTAATACCTGAAACAAGTACGAAACCAAAATTGATATAGCACGATTGACAAAAAGTTGTTTAGTCTGAACTCTGAGCTTTCGAAATGTTATCATTATGACAAAAAAAAAGGAATTAATTAAATAATTGTATTTATTAACAGTGTGAATTTATGCAGGCTTAATCAAAAGAATTTCTAGTTTTTCTATGATTGACGTTAAGTACGCACATTCGTGGAATGGTTTCGGTATCACTGAGAAGCAGCGATTTACCGCATTATCTGCGAGTTTATCCTATAGTTTATGTATATAGATTTCGAGTATATTAGAAAGCAACCACAGCATAATAGGAATTGCTTAATGCCCTTTCCCTCTCGCTCCTTCCCAAGTACTGCATCTTTACAATCGAAATGTTTCAACTAATGAACGATTTTATTTTGTCAAATTTTATAGCAAAATTGATATATAATAAGATCATATCGTTTACAATCGTCTAACAAAAACTCAAATAAACTAACTAATAACTCTATAGATAGATTCCACGAATACATCGAGAAGCCACAACAATTTTATAATAATAAATTACAGAGAAACGTATGGTTTGTGGGACTGCAGTTGTATACATAACATGAGTACCATTTCGTCACCACAATGGAAGTAAATTTTAAAACGTTTGCTGAGTAATCACAAACATATGGCAGTAGCAATAAAATGCATAAAATTTACTGCCATTGATCGTTTAATAATTCAGGTAAACTCTTAAAATTACCTCACTCGTTAATAGAAGTCTATTAATTCGAAAAAGATTTTTTTAATATTAAGTTAATAATAAGTTGGTGCGATATGAATTGAAAATTACTTGAGAGATTCACGACGCTGTGAGAATTTCCTAGATTATTGCGATATGTTATTCTGGAACATTATATGCTGTAACATGAGCATTTCGTGGTTAGCCATCTTCCGCTTCCAAGAATGTCGTTAACGGCGTCTGGTGCCTTTCGATAAGAAATTCGTAAACGCGTCGTGATTCGCGTAAAGAGACCGTTTGAAACACATATTGGAGGTAATACATCCACGTCAATACTGGATAGCGATAACGTCATGCATATTCTATTACAAATAACGACCGTGTACAAATCATAATGCAAACCAAACACACCCACGAGTAAAGCTCAAACAGAGTGTCAGATAGGTCCTTTGCGATTCTGATCAGAAATTGAGCAAAACAACTGTCGGCGTTATACAGTGTGGTATAAAAATAAAGAAGTATGGGAATTCTGGACCTTTTTATATTAGAATTGCAGCACAGTTGACTATGTCTACATGAAGATATCACTGTATGTCATGTTTATCGAAATGGTGAAATATGTAAATAAATTAACAGAACGCTGTACGAGGCGACACGGTATTTCACCATAGTTGGAAATTTATTTCGTTACCTGGGACCATCACTGTGCAGATCTTCGATGTACGTTACCAAAATTAGCTCATGTGTAACTGCAATATTACTTTTGCAGAAATAAACTAGGAAATTGAATATGTCACGAAAATTTATTACTCGTTAAAAATATGACGCCCGTATAAAGTAACTATTAGATAAATAGTCGTAACGTTTGTTGCTCTTTATTGATACACCGCTACAGCGTTGGTATGGCCCATTTACAACATAAAAATGTAGTTACGTGAGTGACTACCCTACGATAAAAGCATACTGTTCCTGATTATAGAATATATTTACTTGGGGCATACATACAATAACTTTGAATTTATTAAGTGCTACAGCCGCAAGAAAAAACAGAATGTAAAACAAACTTTACATCGCATGATATAAATTTATTGTAGGAAATTCAGAACAGAGCATTTTAGAAAATTGACAAAATATGTGGACAAGAAGAAAAATGACATTGAAACCGAACACAGAATCTGACAATCAATCCCCCATCTTTAGCTAAATAGCACGAGGGTGTGTGTATTGTGTAGTAGACAGTAAGCGGTCCGTCATAAAAACAAATTCTAAGGTTGGGAGGCAAGGTTCCGGTAATAATGACTGTATCACAAATAAGTTGGAAAAATGATCTCTCCAAGTGTATATTACAATATATAGAGTTACACAGATTGTAACCAAGAGAATGAGTAGGCAATGTCGATTGCCGTAAGAGGGGTAATGCAATAAATAGTTGAGGTGTAACTAGCTATATACCCTATAGAAATACACTTCAAATACGTTGTAGAACGTCAAATGAATGTAGCGGGGGAACAGCACGGCCAGCGATAGTGTGAAACTTTCAACCCTCGATACAGACGATGCTGTGACTTTCGATCATTCTGTATTATTCTAAATTAAGTAATGCATTAGATATTTTGAAAATTACTTTTAAGAAACTTTTGGATTTCATAATTGTTTCGTGAGTTAGGAACGCTATGAACACAACTTAACCATGTGGCGAGACAGATAACAGATTACTAAGGCTGATGTGGAAATAAGACGGAAGATTCAGAAAGACATCGTTGATCAGATCGAATGAACAATGTTGCAGCAACCGCGAGTCTAGTGTTGATCTTGCATATAATCATCCCCCACGGGATTTTTTAAACAAACCAACGCGGGGTAATTAATATCGCTGCGGCAATATTCTCCTTACACTAGAAACACCGGACGTCATTACAATGTGTTATATAGAACATGTTACGCTTAACTAAAGGCGCAAAATATGATGTAATGATAGTCGGCCGAGATTTTGACAAGCAAATACCCAAACAAAAGACATATTATATATATGTTTCTTTTCACTCGAATAATGCAAAGACGCATTTTATCCGTCAATTTTACTTATTTGTGCTTTATTTATTCGTAGCGAATGAGTAGTAAGCCTCTTAAGGAGCAAACCACCCCAACTTCTATTCATATTGGTATTTAATTAATATTGTATGCGGTACTTTTAGTGAGTTGAAATAATCTCATTGGTATTGTGGAGTAACTTTTAAAAACATGACTTGATGAAAGCTGCTATCCTCGTGCTAAATTACACAAACAACCAAAGTATTGTGAACAATATGCCGTCGCTAGGTTTTTAACAAAGGATTGTTTGGAAAGCTTTCTATACAAAGGGATAATAATTCAATACATTATTCTGCATCGTATTGTGAGACAACAGTCGCGTGTCAGACGCTTCTTCCGATGAATTTCTTCATTCGTGAATCAGTTAATTTGAAGGTTCGATTTTATCTGACCCCGTGGAGACCAAAAGCTTGATTGTAAGACCCTTGAGAGACTGAAAACCGATATTAATCACTTCTCACGAATTGCAGATGCCGTGTTGAGTTATAAAGATGCTACTTGACATTTTAAGTAGGAATTTTAGTGCTTATGCTCGACATGACGGAATAAATGAAGATATTGTTGTTTTCTAGAAATCGCGCTGATTACGCGTAGCTTATTCTCAGGAGTCGAAATATGTTAATATCAATGTGTTATTTTTTATAATTAGTAAAATGACTGTTATTAATTCTAATACCTTATGTGGTTTGAATATTTGCTATACAGGTTTCAAGGCTCGTCATCGTTATTAGTTATGCAGTGCTATTTTGTATCAGTTATGCTAGTGTAAATTATGCATTGATTCTTAATTACGCGAAAAATTGGAGCTTAAACCATCGCGGAAGGTAGCAACTATTATGAGTATGACGTATTTGCTTTGCCAATTAATATTTAATTGGACGTCCGGTTATGCTAATGAATACGTTCTTGTTCTAATTATGATGCAAACAAGTAGGCTATATAATAGTTAGACTCTGTTTCAAGAAACTATTATATGTACGGTATGCACTCGGTGTTAGGCAGACAAAAAAAGAATGTTTGTCTCCATATAGGCTAAGTTTAAAAATTTGTCAACATGCTTCCATCATCTTCGACATTACTTTCGAATCAACAATTCGAATTTCAAACGAATTCCCCGAAATCATTTTTTGTTTGTTATGGAACCTAGTATACCTGAAATGAGGGTTCTTAGCAATATTTCACTTTTTCTTCGTCAATATAAATGGAATGCATTTCAATTATGTTTCTCTCGCGCAACAAGCCCCAAATGTGTACGTTTCGCTTCATTGCCCTGAATACACTTGCGGAAGATAACAAACTTAGCTTAGTACACAGACATATACCGCGACAAAGCAGAAATAGCAAGATAGGCAGACTACATACAAATATCTGAACACGTGAATATTGGTCAAGTATGATTTTCATGGTTATTTAATATTTTGCAGATTTATAGTAAAAATTTAAAATGGCTCAAAATGCAAACCAAGAAAAAGGGGAAACAAGCACGCAAAGTTGGATGGTCGCCAAGTTACCTCCACCAGAATCATTCTCCACCGATAGCAAATTAGTGAATGGAGGGTTGGTAGAAAATAGCGATGTCATTGTGGGGAAACAGCAAGGTGAATCAGTGGAAGGGCGTAATAGTGAGGCGACAATAGAACAAGGGAGTCGTGAAGAGAAAAAAGGCAAAGATGAAGCTGAAGTTGACGCAATCAACCACACACTTGAACCCAAGAAAACGAATAGCGAACGCGAGGAGCAGGTTTCTACTAACAAGTAAGTTTCAGTTCATTCAAATATGGCACATTACTGGGTATTCCCGTAGTGTGTGTATCAAGTTAGGGTTAGGCCGTAAGTTGAATTCGATTTTCCTTATTTTAGTTCTATTACGAGTTCGGGGACTGTCTGTACTAGCCGAGTGAATATCCCCCTGCCCACAGGCTTCAGTTCCTTTACACAACTTGATGTGAAGTAGGCGAGCAAAATTGGTTACCTCCATATTGGTACACATACTTCTGGAGCGCCCATCATTGATACGGTTGGCTAAACGTTAATGTGGAATACTACACGCAATACTTTTTTTCTAATTGGTTGACATATTAATATTATTCGGTTTTATCACCTTATTTGTAAATTATCTATTACACTTGACGTGGATGTTTTTCATGCTTATGCAAATTTTGAACTAATCACAGCTGAAATGACCGCTATCATTCCACGACATCGGACCAACCTGCGAAGGATAATGAGATCTCTTTCCATATTATACAACAAAATCCTTCGACTTTGGCATTCTAATCGTCACATAATGTAAAATAATAAGTTGTCGCTTATCTTTCTCACGCGAGTAACTCATTACACCAATACAGATCGGCCTCCATGACTTTCATTAGATCGATCGATGATGGCTTGACCTAACTTTACGTTCTCAATCGTGCAGAGATCTATATCTTCCCTTATAATTGTAACCTTCGCGTGCCAGTAAGTACTGTCATGGACCAGCAGCGTCCGTGTGTGCATCAAAAATAAATTGCCAATCACAAATCACCTCTGACGAGTTTACTTTTACTACGCCGGGAAAAATTAGAAAACATTGAACTGCACGCGATGTTCATTAGGGTCGACCAAAATAGGAAAGAATTGAGGAATCGCGTGTTCAACTGCCGTATAGTTAGGAACCACTGATGACTTCTAGTTGTTATGTTGTTCTGGTACACATCGAGATTAATTTAATTGGCATTTGCAACAGGAAATGACAAAGCGAAATCACGAACCTTATGAAAATCAAGATTGTTGTGCGTAGGCAAAGAGTTGTGTCAATGTTTTGTGTAGGTAACCCCATAAAATAGAAAAACTTCCTTTTATTTTCGACAAAATTTAGAAGTTTTAGTAAACTTGTTTATGCTCAATAAAGACAATGGTTAAAATCCGAGTACTCTAAGAAAAAGAAGCATTAGCAAATTGCAATTAGGAGTACTATCGCATTGTATGTTGCAAATCAAATCTTTGCCACACCAGGCAAATATCTGAGATTTATTCAATGGGGTCATATATGTACATTCCTCATCACGCTATTGTCTATCAAATTTAAAAATGAATCAAAATTTTTGTATCCAATTCATTTTCAATGGCCGATTTACCAATTCTGTACCATGATCGCTCTCATATTGAGATATATTTTTCATTTATATAACATTTGATGACAAATAATTTCAGGCAAATGAAAACAAAAGTGAAATATAAATATTGTCAAAAATACGCCAAATTTCCCATACAAATGCATTACTGAACGATACAAATGATTTGCGAAATTTTTGAATAATTTCAATTGTGCCAAGTTATTATTTTTTTTGAAGGAAATTAGAACGTCTTTATGGTTGTGACTTCTCTAGCTGAAACGATAATTAATGTTTGGTTTTTATGTTCCGGCTTGGAATTGGACAATTCACTGGCGTTGCAATAAACATGAGCGTTGAAACAATCAATCATTTATAGATGGGCAGTAGTTATCTATTAATGCCGATAATATTATACTAGCGACAAATAGTTGTAAATGGCCGCGCTGGAGCTCGAGTTTGATCAAGGTGGACCCGCAAATAAGCTTTCAATAACTTTATTTTTATGGCAGTATGTTCTTCCAAATTAGCCTTACTCGCCACACAAACAGAGCAGTAAATCTATCACCTTGATAGAAACGCCACGTCTGCAAGTATAGGTCAATCTCGTTTAAATAATCGAGTTAATTTAGCTCCCGACGCTGATGTGTTTCAATTTAGTATCTAATCCGATACGGTTATTCTATAACATCGCGATAGATATTGGAAGTTAGGAGAAAACATACAAAACCATGAACTTATATATATATAAAATAACCGCATCTATATCTTAAAATGTATGAAATTTGAGGCATCCACCATGATTCAAGTCTATATCTCGAGGATCTAGACGCTGGATAATGTTGAAATACAGTTGAAATATTCAAATAGCTTGTTGATTTGATCGAGTTCATCTTCTTGAACACAATTCCGGGATAGCATTTGTTATCAATTATTTAATAGTATAGAATCAAAATAGGCGTCACGTTTGTTTTTGAATGCGCGATCCCTGAATTAAATATAGGAAAGTGACAATTTGAAGTGATAAAAATGTCATGCATCACATTTTATTGTAATTATCGTGAAATTCATCAAATACTGATGAATGCAAATTATCGCATTAAAACTGATATGCAAGATCGAAGAAAAAAATTAAAAAATCCCTTTTAAAAAACACAATGATGTCACAATGCAGATTTACATACAACAAAACATTAGTTCTGGTTTTCAAATATCTTCGCCACGAAAGTTGATATGTTTATCCAGATGTATATCATTTATCAGCCACTTCCCATAACGGAATAAATTAAATTTTTAAATATCAAGTTGAAGCCACAAACTTTGAATATACAATGTGCACGTTTCATGAGAATTTGTCACGAGATTTTTGACATTTAAATTACTTTTGAGTTCCAAAAAACCGAACGTTTATTAAATTTTCAACATGCTGATTATCTTGAAGTAGAGAGGTTTTCTTTAATGAACAAATATCGGCACGCCACTGTTAGTTCATAATTTTGTAACCCCAGGTAGAAATATCGCGATTTTTTCATGGCGAAGCTAGTTTATTTTATTTGATATTGTTCATTACAGTATTATTAGTCCAGTGATGCTGAAGATAGACTCGATAAAATCGTGCCTACAATTAGGAAAGCCAAAACAAAACAAATATTTGGACAACCAGAGTTTTAGTCTTTTCCTGAAGGTTTTGTCGCGCACATTAACAAAACTATTTGACAAAAAACAAGAGAGCGATGCCCAAATGGACACGGAGACGAAAGCGAAGTTAAGTATCGTTAAGAAACTTCCCGCTATTGCGGGAAGAAGAAAAAATTGGCGAAAAACAACGAAATTTCGAAGTGAAATGCGAATCATAGAGCCCACAGAAAGTTTTAAAATAAATAAAAGTAATAGCCCGAACGAAAAATACAATTTTTATCCACTGAAAATTTTAAAGCAATTGATCCAGCAGTTAATGAGAAATGCGTTTTTTTTTCATACGGTAACAACAACAAGAAAAATACCAACAAAAGCAACAACATAATAACAGATGATTCATTGGTCCATTTCGTGTCCAAATATCATAAGCTCCAATGGAATTCACATTTGATGTGGAACCTTGTATATAACGATCAATATGGGGAAATTGACACTTTTATTTGCGAAGACAGCACGTTTATGAACCAGATCTGATTATCGAGAAACTTCGACCCAAAATTTACATCGAAAACAATATTATCTTACATACTACTCAACTCAATGATTATTTTATTACAGGACCAATTGCTTTAAAATTTACAGTAGTTGGAGATTGTATTTGTAGCTGAAAAGCTATTACTTTTATTTTTTTTCACAAATTTTTGTGTGCTCCGTGGGATTCGTTTTTGTGTGCCGTCTTCAAAGTTAAAATTGCGCACCTCGTGACGGTTCCGCGTTCACTGCTTTCTGGTGGTCTACTGTGAAAGATTGCATACCCGTACTACCTCGTTTTGGCTTCGTGTTCATATATTTGAGCATTGTCCTTATTCTTCAACGAATCTATAGTATAGATTCTATACCATAAATGATACCTTGCGTATGCTATAGATTTTATGGTATACAACCATTCGGTATTCCGTAACAATAACAACAATCAAGTTTTTCCTATCTATGTGTGTGCTAAGTGACAAAATACATTATTAATATATATCAAATCAGGACGTATTCTTTCACAGTTGTATAGCCTACACGTTGATTTATCTCACGCTCTATCTACCTCTACATTAAGCATAACACCAATCATTGAAATGCAATTTATAAGATTGGAATTCACAAAAAGCAAATGCACAAGACTTTAGAATAAATCTTACAGAATGAATGTCCTAGGGTCTGAACTGTTATTTATATATCATAGTTTGCTTCCGATAAGAGACAGATTCGAAAGTTAAAAAATCCAAACGTCAATTTGAACGATAATTATTGAGGAGTCTGGGCGAAATAAAATATTCTGGTGACTGGTATTGAAGTTATCGTTATTTTAGCCAAAGTTCTAATTCTAGTCTACAAAAGCAAAAGACGTTGAGTTGGTTTTCTTGCGTTATGAATGTTTTTGGGTTGAGAGAAGAGGTCAAGATCCATAATTTCTCGGCCTCCGCATGTCCATGGTCAGCATGGCATGGTATAGAACCTTAAATAGAAACAAATGTGAAAAGCAGCACTCTTGCGATTGCTGAAATGAACGCCGCAATTTTCAAACTGTTTTATTCACATGATCTTAGTCATTGAGGCCGAATATTCAGTAACAAGCCTCCAATAATTAGGTGAAAGCATGCAACGCACGAACCCACATTGGACGTTGGCCATAATGTACACGTTCAAAGAACTGTTTAGATATTGAGCAGCCCATTACATATAAGGTATGCCTCAGATTCGAAAGTGGACTGCTTAAATGTTCTAATAACATTACGTTATATAACACACCAAAAAAAATTGCCATTTTTGTATACAAAACACCACATTTGGCAACGCTCATGTTTGTTGCACGTGATTTTTTTACATTTAAAATAATTTTGTTTATTATATAACATACGAGAGTGGCTCTATCACATATGATAAATGCGTAAGATAAATAAAATGATTTTATAATTTGGTCAGATAATGATTGCCATTTTTATAAATATGTATAACCCCATTTTGTTATGC